AACAGTGGATTCACATACCTTGGTACATACAATCATACTGCCAACCTCACTGAGAGGTCGTTCTAGTGAATTGAGCCCTACACCAATAGCTTCCTCAACGATTAACGAGAGATGACCTGCTACCTCCTCCTCCTTCGTGTAACTCTACTCAGATTCCGACTCGGACTCAGAGTCGCTCAAGCCAGCAAATGCATTGGCAAGAGCACCCTTCACTCTGGAGAAGGGAAGCATACACTGCAAGAGAAGTATGTCAACACAGCCTACTTTTTCGGGCCAGTATCAACAGTGCGAACTACAGCTTCCCGGGGAGCAGCAACCTCCGGGCCCTTCTTCGCTGGACCAACATCCTTGCCCTTTCCTCGCCAATTGCTAGACCTATAGACAAGTCCTCCTATACTGGCGATGAGCGACTACCCTACTTGGTCTCGCCCAATGCATAACGGCTGCCCTTGCCCCCCTTAGTGCCCTTGCCGCCTCTATGAGGTGACCTACGACATGGCTCCTAGCGCCACAGTATAGCCCCTCTTACTTACGTAGAAGAGGCTTCCGATGGAGTTGCCCTCGTGCTCGCCCCACTCCGATGCTTACGATCCTCCTCATCGGTCGTACTAGTCTTGATGCCCAGTCGCTTCTCGCGTTCGGCTCTCCGACGCTGATATCTGATCAGGAACGCACATAGCAACCAGCACCGCACACATCATAGTCGTCGCACTCAGCCTCGTCCCTAGGCTTGGCATCACCGAAAATACTCGTTCGCTGACGGCCAGCAGCGTCCTCGCGGATTTCCTGACAACGCTACTCGGCGAGTTCTTTTTCTCCCACACCATGGACCACCTCAATGGGCTTGCTCCTGGGCAACAACTGCAGTTTCTTCCTTTCGTGATGCTCAGCCTCCTCAGCAGCAGAAGGGCGCTCGAAACTCTCACGGTTGTGGGTTTCCCGATAGCTAAGATCAGTACCCAAACTTTAACAACATCTCGCAACGCTAAGTGCACTCACCTATCTCGACCACCTCTACGGAGCTCACGGTCATCACGACGAGGGCCACGCGGCTCACTGAGACACGACCAAGCTGTTCCAAGTTTCTCGTAAGGACACTCACTACCGAGAACGTCTGCGCGGCTCTCTGCGGTGCTCCTCAGCAGAAACCTTGATAGTGCGGCCACCAAAATTCGAACCATTCATCCCGAGAGCCGCCTCATAGTCCTCCACTGTCGCGAAATCGAGATAACTGAGCCATCAATGCTAGTCATCTCACCCGCCCCTCCCCTCCCGTATAAGCTACTACCCAAAGCCCTTCGATTTTTTCGTCTCTCTGTCCATGATGATGCGGACACCAACAGGAGTGATGTTCCTGTCTAGGAAGAAGAACCCGAGCTCGTCCTCCGAGGCACTATAGGGCAATCCACCAACGTAACTATAAGGAGAAAACTCCGCTTAGTTAGCCCCTTCCTAGTCGCCACCACTTACACAGAGAAGGTCTGCGGTGTCCCCATACCAGTAGGAATATGCTCCTCAGAAACGCCGTCTTGATGAGCATCTGCCGAACCCTCCAGCGAGAAATGCTCATCACCAGGGATTTCCTAAACCGCGAATGAGGCCCGATATGTACATGCCCAAACTGATTGATTACGGGAGCAGCCGCAGGAGACCAATCTGGAGAAAGGTCGGCCGATTCGTCGGCCCAGTTTGTTGCCGACTTCATCACTGGAGACGCCATGGGTAAGGGGAGTAACTACATATTGATAGTATTATTCCTTGGGAACGCCAAGGCGATACCCATGCACTCTCCACAGAGTGCAGGCCCCCCGAGCTGCTTGTGAGCAACCAAACAATGGTGGTGGTGGCTGTATCCAACAATCACATGTAACAACATGATTCAAAACACACAAGTCATTTGGAAGATATAACGACCAAAAAGGCCGACGTCACAGACGTCCTTTCTAGAGGTTGACCAGCTCAGTCATCCCGAGCCTGGCCGGACCGCCTCCCGAGCAGATACTAAAATGGACAACAGGATGATCACGATGAGGATCTATGTATACTATACATTGTATAGTAGCTACTGACTTCTCTCACTCTTAAGCTCACGTATTTCCTGAGCTCTTCTTGCCTTCATAATTTCACTTTTTCTTCGGGCCATCTGAACCACACACACAGTGGGAGCAGCTTTGGTTGATCCGCGGTCGAATACGAGTAGATGTATAAAAAATCGACGGAGAAAGCGAACTTGATAAATTTCCATCTGCTGCTTCCTGTACGCCATGCGTTCCCTAAGCTGTTCCGCTCGGTCCATCTCCCTTTCCACAACGTAGAGCTTTTGACGGTACCTGAATTCTCTCCACTAGCCAGCAACGGGTGGGTGGACCTTACTCGACCATTGATATGAGGCTACCATCGTCAGCCATCAAGCCCATGTTGTGGAAGTGGGCACGAGTAGCAGGGGACGCCCAGAAATCGTCGAGGTTGCGGTCCCTTAGGGCGTCGTACCTAGTAATGATTGACCCTCAAGGAGCTCCCAATGGACGTACTCGGGAATAGGTGCTGAGTTGCCTGATACGTGGAATCCCGCTGCCCTAGCTCGCAACGCCCTGTTAGGGGTAGAAGGCCGTAGGGTCTTCTCCCAAGCAGACATTGAGCCTATAAGGCGAACACTGCTCCTTGAAGCGTTCCTTAAAAAGGAGGAATTCCTTACACTACTTCCTTAAGGTGCGCCTTGAGGGGCGGTTCGAAGGTTACACCGAAACTCAGAACACATTCCAGAATGCAAAGCACCAAAATCGCGTTCAGAGAACAGCCCAATTCTCGATTCTAAGAATACTTTCTGGAGTGGATTCCGGCGGAGTTCTCTGAACACCCCGTCGAAGTTTTTGTCGGAGAATTCCGAGTGATGACAATCTTCACATGTCATCACTCGGGGAGAGAGGCATCTTGCAATCTTGCTCACTTGCAATTTCTCCAAGCTTGTTTAGAATGTGCGTGCTAAGGTGCCGGTACGTCCAACATCGCTCTGCCTAGTAGATTTACTAGTCATCTCATTCGTATGACAGTACAGCACTCTAGAGGGCAGACTAAGCTACCAGGGGTTGGTGGCTTCACCACGACGAGGACCAGCAGTGAATACGCTCGCCCAGTCGTCGATGGTGATGCTTTTGAGGTCAACCCAAGTAACGTGCCAACTCCTCCGAGCTCTCCTGAATCAAGATCCTCCCAAGATGAAGGGAAACTGGGAGGTCGCAACCGCGAGGTCTTCAGCAAAACGCGAATGTGTAAATTTTTCTTGCGAGGCCAATGCAAGCACGGTTCGGACTGCGGATATGCGCACGACTGGAGCGAGCTGAGGCAGGCCCCTGATCTCCGGAAGACTAAAATGTGTCAACTGTACCGCAAAGGGCAGTGCCCTAACGGTGCTGATTGCGCCTATGCACATAGTCGTGACGAGCTCAGGGCCACTGCTGATGTTTATAAGACTTCCCTTTGCCGTTTTTGGATGAACGGTTCGTGCAATGCTGGTTCGAAGTGCCGACATGCACATGGTGCTCATGAGCTCCGTACTAGAGTCCCCACTGCGGCTGGTACGGATGCTGTCTTGACCGCTTCTACTACTAACCGTCTGGCCGAGGTTGCCGCCGCTAACGAGGATCCCGACTTGATGGCTACTGCCGCTTCTTTAGCTGCCTCTCAGAAGGCTGCTCTGGGGAGCACTATGGCCATGAATGACTACTTGGAGCAAGCTAATTTGTTAGAGCAGATAGCGAAGACTCTCGAGCAGCTCAATGAGACTACTGGCAGTAGCGGCTTCACTGCTGGTGATGAGGTCACTCTCAGGCTACGTTCATACACTGGCGGCAGAGATATGGTTGCTGCTTTATTAGATGACCCGCCAGTGGAGGCCCCTAGTGTTACCAACACTCTCCCTACTGTACCGATGCCTGGCTTGGATGTTGCGGCACCGGTGTTCGTCCCTCGTAAATCTATTAGTTCAATAAGCAACGAGCAGCTGCAGCAGCTTCAGTCGATTATCGAGGAGGCCGGTTACAACCTACCAAGTGCCGCCGCGACAACTCCTTTGAAGGGCCCGGCCGCCTCTCCAGATTCTGCGTTCGCTCCTGCTGTTGCTGATAGTCGCCCACGTGGTTTCAGTGGTTGGAAACCTTATGAACCTTCTAATGTGAATTCTCGAAGACTAAGTCAAATAGCTACGATCCTTGAAGCTAAGAGGAGACTCTCTAGCTTTAGCTTGGCCCCACCTGGTGTCATGCCTGGTCAGAATCTCCCTCCTATGCCAAGTCCCAATAGGGGACCACTGGCTTAGTACAAACGTTCGACATACCCGGAAGCCTGCTTCTAGCAGTTTTAAGGATCACTAGCAACTACTCTGTGAACAGCTAGTGTCAGTTTCCGTGGTATCTTACCAGGTATCTGCGCTATATGTGATAGAGTCTTTATTCCCCTGTGTATGTTATCAACTCGACACCAGGTATTAGACCATTAAAGTTGTTATGCGGTTCAGATTTTCTAATGCTGTGAAAGTCGTTGTTGCCATTATTACTGCTGTTGACAACAGCCTGTTGTTATACTGGGGATCCATATTGATTTCTAGACTCGACAGTAATGTTGATTACGTACCAGTTATATTATATAACACCTATTCGTTTAAGGTGAATGTGCTTCGTGTTAGATAGAGAGTAATCGTTATAAGGCAGAGGCCCGTCAGAAGCCGAGTTACGTTTTGGTCAGTATCGCGTCGTCAGTCGTGGTTGAAGGGGATTGTTCTCAAGTTTGTTACACCTTTTCCCGTGCAAGTTTGACAAATGCGCACGCAACTATGTCAGTGTCACATCCAAAAATGACAATACATATTCATATTTGACACAAACAAGAAATATCGGCAGTAAGTTTGACAAGAGGTATTCATCTTTGACACACCCTTGATTTATTGAGTTCAACATTGACACTATCTCATCCAAGAATGACAACACGCGTTCAACTTCGATAATACGAGTCCAACTTCGACAATACGCGTCCAACTTCGACAATACGCGTCCAGGTTCGACAATACGCGCCCAAGGTTGACACTTTGACACCTTAAATGCGGCGTTTGCTAAACTTGCACGAGGAAAGGTGTAGATATGTGACCATACGAGAATTGGCAAATCTTGCATTGTGTGATACTCAGCGACATATAAGGAGGGGAAGAACGGATCTCGCAAGGATAGGCCAGCTAAGTGTTAGTGAAACTTCTCTTATTTTCTCCTCGGTGTATCGATTGATAAGATAACCACAAGTTTCCCTATAAAGTCGGCAGCCGAGGTTGGAGTCCATGAGTATGAATCAACGTGGAAAAGCCTCGAAGGTGATGGAAGCTGCTGTATTCTTGTGCCTGTTGAGGGGTCCAAACAGAGGGGACCATCCTGGGCACCGGAGTGCCACCATCCAAGGCAAACATAAGGGATTGAGTTGATCCAAGACAAATTGAACCAATCAATTACAATGTCTGTTGAGCCCAATATCGTCGGTTGATCCTAGAAGGTATTCATGCTCTACTTTATTCCAAGACGTGAGGAAATGATGTCCAGAGCAAACGGTAAAGCGCATGTTACAGTGTACTCCTTGGGGAAGGAAGCTTGAGCTGAGGTACAGCGCAACAGCAACAAGTAAGCTGAGATAAGGCGAACAATACTCATGCGAGTGGTCCCTTCATGAACTGCTGGTCATACACTTCATTATGTTGTGAGCATCGCTCTATCAGCAGCAGAACAGTCGTAGGACAGCTATAATGGTGGCACTGAGTGCCGGGCACTTTGACCGTAATCTCACACAAAGGGTTCCTATGACAGAGTGATTCAACAGATCCCAGGCCGAATCAGTAAGCCTGAGTCGCCACTGCAGCAGATATCTCCTCGACTCCCCAACCCATCGCCGGTAGCCGCTATCGTCGGTAATTTATCATCCATCTCCCTGTTCAGTCCATCCTGCTGTGGACTGCCTGGTTGTGTACTCTTCTGGAGGATATGCTACTGGGCAACCTTCTGATGAAGAATATGGTCTTCAGAGAAGCCCTCGATGATCTGTGATGGGGCTACGGAGTTCAAATCTCTTCGGAACTCAGAATCACGCCAAGCCGTGTATAATCGTCTCGAAGGATTGATTATAGGTAACTCAGAGATTGAGAGGGCCAAATGAACAGCAAGCTGTGACTACGGCTAGGGGATGGGAGGAGGTGTACGGCGATGGTGGTTGCCTACAAGAACTGACCAGGAACGTGCACAGCTGCGGGTTCAGTGGAGGCTCTAGGCAGTCTCCTACTAACCATTCAGCAGAGAGAAGGAGCTTGATCAGTTCATGAAATGTCCATCATTGAAGACCGAGCATCAGAACCTCTAGCATACAAGGAAGATCCTCAACCAAAAGCGATTGGATAGTGTTCATATTGAGATCGTATACGCGCAATGTAAGGACGCGTGACGTTAAGCATGTGGTAGAGGACGACGCTCTTTTTATGACGCCTCCTGAATCGGGTGGAAGGGCAAAGAGGATCATAGTCTACGACATTATTACAACAGACTCTCGTATGAGCGGTGGTAAAATCGTATAAGAAGAACCTCGAACCTGCTCATGATGAGTTAATCATTCATGAGCCTTCCAATTGCATAGAAGGCGAAGTGCTCCCACAACTGGTGAAACTCAACATCTCAAAAGTGAAGGAGAGAAACGTTACTACGTCGGCGATTGTTGTTGTTACGGTAAACGAGAGTGGCGTAGGAATAAATTTACAATGTCTTGTAGAGCATGTTGTCCATTCTCTTGACATAACCCCATACTATCTTTGAAGTCGGCACGTTAACATCCGCCTTACGAACATCACCCATGGTGAAGGATACCAACAGGGAGAGTACACGCCTCAACTTGTCGAGATTAGGACCTGACCAGCTGCCCCGTGAAAAAAGCAAACACGCAAGCCGAGAGTGTTAGTACTCTCTCCAGCATTGCCAGCCTTCACAACGTCAACGATGTCCTCCACAGAGAGGATGTTAATGTCACCGAGAGCCTCCTCAATAACCTATGAAGCACCGACTCCTACTACACGAAGATTCTATTTGTCCCACCAAGTTGTTCGTAAGCAACTCGTAGCCCTCACCAGCCTTGGACTGGATGTAGGCCTTCTTATGAAGGAGATCAGATATCGCCTTGGGGGAAGGGACGCCGTAGTACACGAACCTGAGCACATGTTGCACAGGAAGCACCTGCCCGTGATAGAATTACGTTTCGCATATGCGTAGGAGTTCGCGGTTCTCGAGAGAGTCCTCGAGGAACATGGCGTGGCCGTACTTCCGTAGACCCATCTTGCGGAGGGCCTTGAGCACTGTGGCTGAAGGGGATCGACGATCGTTGCGGACAACGAGGAAGACCTAGAAGTGGCAGTACTGCAACAGCGTCGTACCAACACCCGTACCCTGCCAGGGATGACGTCACCCAAGACCGCCATACGTTTATTCTTCTGCTTGGTCACCTTGGCCCTTCTACGGTCCATGAGCCTCTCCCGAGCCTTCACGACCAAGGAGTTGGCCGAAATCTGACAGGCTACCGATGCTGCCCATGATGATGACCAGGACTATGCTACCATCTTAGCAGCTTTTCCTAGACGCTTCTTCTCGAGCTTCTGCTCCTTCACACGGCGCTGTCGGGCAGCCAACGCCTTCAAATTCCGGTCCCTGCGTTTGATAACGGCCTCGGCAACCTGACCAAGGCAAAGTT